TAATACTCTTCCATGATGTGAGAAATGTGGTAGGTTAAAAAGAAATAGAAACAGATGTTTTTGTAGTCATTTAAAAGTTAAATCAACTAAACCACTTTCTGACAAAGAACTACTTTCACAAACTTCAGTTTTCACCTAGAAAATAAAACTAGAGAACTAGAAAAGGAGTTATCAATTACCAAAGAAGAATTGAAAATTGAAAGAGAAGAAGTACCCAAATTTCAGGAAAAATCAGAAGAGTGAAATAGAAAGCAAAAACAGGAGTTATTAGATAAGATAAAAAGTTTAGAAGAGAAAATTAACCATCTAGAAGAAGAAAACAGAAAATTAAAAGATCAGCAGAATGGTCAAATTGCTCAAATTGAAGTCAAAGAGACTAAAAGATGATCCTGATTGAAAATAAAAAAGTAATTTTTGGTTATTTTCTTCTGTATGAATTGAAATTCATTCCAACTATTAAAGAAAATGGTATTTATTTTCCTTTAAAAGATTTTTGCTTTTTGTTAGGTAATAATCATCATCATGATGCTTTCTTTTTTAACATTTATAATTTTTCTTTCTTGGTAAATTTCATAGGTAATCTTTTCTTTTCTTAGATAAGCTTCCAGTGTCTGAGTATCATTTATTTTGAAAATGTAAGGAGCAATTTTTTTCACCTTGTTCCCTCTTCAAATGGTGCTGTGAATCTTGGGTTCTATAGTAGATCTAATGTAAATGAGTTTCATATTAACTATTTTTATATAGAAGTAATTCTATATACCACTTGATATTAAGAAGATCATATCAGCCGATTTGGTTTTTTGAGCCTTTTTTCAAACCTTATGTCTTATTGTGTCTTGATGTTAAACACGAGTATTTTTAATGTGTAAACTGGTCGGTAGAATGATAATTACCCTAAAAAAAATTATTTTCTCCGCTAAAAAAACTAATTTATTATCCATCAACCCGTCAAACCAATGGCTCCACCTCAAAACCAATGATTTTTTGCTAGTATAAAGTATTCATAATGTTATGATCATACCGTACTGTATTTTGGGGTTCAAACAAAATCAGCGCATATGTAGCAAATGGAAAATTTTAATAATCACATTGCTAAATTTTGATCCCTGAAATCTTTGATAATACCAATGTTCACTTTGTCTGGTTTTGTTGCAATATGCCCCACATAAGATCATCCAATTCTCTGGTATAATTTTTATCACATAATTTTGGCTACTTTTTCATTAAAAGCAATATTTTACAAACTGTCATTTTTTTCTTAACACTCTGTAAACAGAGGAGAGAGTGTCAACATAGTCTACAGAGGTGTCAGTGTTGTTGTTCAACAGTTCTGTATAAATGTTGGAATTGACTAAAATAGTCAACTAAACTTTTCTTGAACAACTAATAGTCAACTATCTTAATTGATTAAATAGTCAACTATTTTAATCAACTATTTAGTTGAATATTTTAATTAAGGCTTCGAACGAATCAATGAAATTTGAACCGATTCGAATATATAATTTGATTCGAATGGATTCAAATTCGGATTGATTTGATTTGATTTGATTCGAACGGATTCGAATATATTAATATAATTTGATTCGAACGGATTCGAATATATAATTTGATTCAAATTTGAACTGACTGATTCGAATATATAATTCGATTTGAACTGATTTGATTTGATTCAAACTGACTGGTTCGAATCTATAATAATAATTGATTTGATTAATAAATGAAAAATCTTTATTTTAATGTATATTTTATAATTTTATTTACAAAAATATTTTTTATTTATATTTATTTATATAGTATAAATAATGTAAAATTCAAAAAAAAATTTTTACCTGGAGCAATAATTGCATCTTGCCTTTCCATCTATGGTTGTAAAATGATTCCATGCAATGCTTCTTGTTCTTCTTGCTGTGCTTGTTGAAGAAATTGAAGAAGTTGAAGAAGCATCATTTTTGACCATGAAATCATTATCATTCATTAGTATTAGTACTAATTATTTTAGATTTAATGAATTGTACAACTGTAAATCGTGTTACTTTTTTACTCATTATTAATAATATAGGTCACACGACCATTAATATTAATATCGAGAAATCCGTTATTATTAAAAATTCGAATAAATATCATATCAAAAAGAATTTTATTATCATTAAACCATTCTTAGACCTCAATCCATTAGTATTCATTAAATTGAGGCACACTAATAATTGAGATTCACTGTGTAATATAAATTTAAATTATCAAATTAAAAATATAAATTTAATATGACGTTAAAAAATTTTTAGGAATCCGGTTTGATTCGAATCAATTCGAATCGAATCGAATCCTGTTTTTTTGAATTCGAATCGGATCGAATTGACTACATATCAAATCGAATCGAATCGAATCACCCTCAAATTCGATTCGATTCGATTCGTTCGGAGCCTTAATTTTAATCAATTATTTAATTGACTATTTTAGTTGACTATTTAGTTGACTATTTTAATTGACTAATTAGTTGACTACTAATACTATATACTAATACTAATACGGTGCAGATCATCTATAATCATTAATTGCTTATAGTAACAATTGGTCAACTTCAAATTACTAAAACAAAAAAAAATTGTATCTTTTTAAAAATTTTAACCGATAAGTTTTATTGTTCATGACTCAAGCTTCAAAACTTATCGGCTAATTTTTTCTTAAACTGAAAATTGGCAGAGCATTAGCATTTTGAAAATTCCGAATTTTGTTATACACTTGAGAAATTGAGACTAAGTAAATTTCGTGTAACAACTTTTTTTCATATAATATTTTCTACAACATACATTTGATTTATTTGACTTATTTATTTCCTTTTTTTTATTAATAAATAAAAGTTTAACGAAGATATTACATTTAAAAGAAAATCATTACCAAATTTGGTCATGAGATTCAAAATAATGCGACACGAAAATTATTGTTGCACTTCTGAGCAATTTAAAAAATCTATGAAAAAGAAAGACAAATTTTTTTTTTAGATTAATAGACTCTCTTTTTAAAGCCGAATTGAATGGTGGCGAGTTTTTAAAATCCAATGTGTTGATCACATAATATTTCAAAAAATTTAACTTGAGTATAGATGATCCGCACTGTACCAATACCAATACCAATACCAATACCAATACCAATACCAATACCAATACTAATACTAATACTAATACTAATGTTATTATTGTCTGACCAATTATGATTTTTGTGTTTTATCATTCAAAATGGAAAATTTTTATGCGGAAGAGTATCAATATGATGATGATGACATTAGTAGATGATAATTTTACATGTGAATGAATATAAACACTTCTAATACAAGGTCCAATAGTTCATTGGCTTCAAGTTCCAATGATTTCCAGAAGACCTTAAAAAAAAAAATTGTAACACATAGTTTTGTGGAAGCATTTTGAAAAAGTGAAAGATTCAAATGGAAATTTAGTCGACTAAAGAAATTTTTGACCAACTAATAGTTGAATAAGGATTTTTTGGACAATTCCAACCTCTAGTTTTGTAAAGTGTAATAGGTTAGACATTATAATTTTCTGATAATCTTTTTATCCTTTTTATATCCTTCCAATCAATCTGCTTTTAATTCATGACATGCACATTGAAGATGCTCTTTTAAATGTCTTGTTTAGCAAAACCTTATGCTTAAAAAATTAAATTTTATTAATAGCAATAATACAAACAAAGTTTAAGCTTAATAATACAAGTGGATGGTTTATAAAAGTCAATCATAATTATTTTAACATATATATAAATAAATACAGGTGGGGTTTTGAGAAAATGAATGAATAGATATATTTGAAGATGGTTAGAGATGATTAATGGGAATATGTGATGGCGGTGGTGGTGGATTAATGAATTAACTTTGCAAATGGGTAAATAAAATGAGTTAATGAATGGGTAAAAAAATACATGTTTGAAATAAATACAATCGAAAAAAAAAATAATTATTATATAAAGATTGATTGAAGAAAAATTTAATAAATATAGGAGAGTATTCACACAACGTTGCTACTATTACTACTATTATTATTATTATATTCTGTTTTAAAATTTTTTAATTCTACAATGTTGCCGTCACCATTTTCTTCTGGCATCCTCACCAGATAAGAATCCTGATGCTTATCGCCAACAATTTGTTGTCTATTTATTGTTTTTGATGAGGGTGATGAGGGTGATGTTGGCGTATTAGGAGAAGAGTATGTTGAAGTGATTGATGATGTAGCAGCTCCTCTAGGATTTACCCACCAACCTTCATTTGAAATATATCTGTAGCAATTTAGAACACCACCAAGTGGTAAAGATATGAAAAATACGAAAAAAGTCCACATTGGTGCTCTCTAAAAAAAAATATATATATAAAAACGAACGAATGAACAAATAAATGAGCGCGGATGAATATGTAGAATAAAATAAAATAAATATAGAAGAAAGTATTTACGGTTTTAATATCAATCAAAACATAAATCATGACTGGAGTCTAAAATTTAAAAAGCATATTAATACAAATAAATATATTAACTCAATCAATTTAATTAACCTTTTACCCATTGTGTGATGAACATAAACAAATAGCCAACGATTTTTCGTAACGCGATTAGAAATTGTTCGTCAACTTGAAGTCTTGAAATATTTATAGTATATGTGATACCGATGTAACAATATATTGATATTAAGAGGATTGTCATATCAACAGACAATAATGCAATATGAATATATTTCGAAGTATCGTTAGAAAAGCACCTAAAAGAATCATCGAAAGAATCGATTAGGCATATTAGTAAACGTAATAAAAAATATAAATATATATATATCGAAAATAATTGAAGAATTTTACCAATGATCATTTTCAACACTCCCAAAGGAATTCCTAATAAATTGTATATTAAAGAAAATAAATAAATGATTATAATTTATAATTGACCTTATAGTAATAATAATATTTACTTGCCATCCGGGTATAGCCAAAATAAATGGTATTACAACAGGAATTATAAATAATTTAAAATCTAATACACCAAGGCTATAATATTTCTGTTTACATACTAATTATTAAATCAATCAATCAATCAATAAACTTGAATCAAAATTTTCTCGATTTTTTAATTAAATATTAATCTTTCTTTACTTACCTCTAAAATAACTTAGAATTGCTAACGATCCCACTAATAGCATGTTACTTATTGCAAAATAAAAAAAACTTGCACCAACAAATTTACATGAAAGACCAGGCCAAATTTGAAGATAAATTACTGGATACGTCTAATATCGTAGATAAATAAATATTTTTTAATAATGATGTTAATGATGTTAATACCATTACGTCACGCGTCCATATACTCACCAAATTAATTATTTGTACAACATATATGAAAAAATCTAAATGGTTTGTTGAATGATTTGTTAAATAAACGGTTGGTTAAATGATTTAGCCAAAAATTCTCAAAAAAAAACAAACAAATCATTATTATTACCCGAACTTGCTATATAAAAAGGTAATTTATGAGTCATATTTAAAGTTAAATCATCTCTTGACCATCTAATCCAAGTACGTAGCATTACATATAAACTGCTCAAAATACCCAAGAAATATAATAATAATCCAAATATATAGAAAGCGTATATTTCTACATTACTATGAAAAGACAATAAATTTGGTGATAGTGTGACATTATTATTTGTCTGATTTACTTCAACACTGTTTGCAAGATCATCCGGCGAAATAGCACAACAAAAATCATTATGTAATAAAACTATTATTATTAAAATAAAAAATATTATTTTTGTTGAAAACATTTAATAACAAAAGCGATTATGATGAATTGGTGTTTGTTTTTTTGTTGATAAGGAATTTGGAATCATTGGAGAATAAAATTCTCGAAATTTGATTTTTTTTCAAAAAGAAAGAATTAAACAAAATAACTAAACGAAAGATAATAGAATTTAGAAAACGTTTTAAAAAAAACGTCAAAATTTTTTATTGTTATTTAAAGTTTTGTCATACAAAACACATAAATTAATCCGGGCACAATTGACCAATCCATTTAACACGTTTTAGAGTGAATTTGAAATTTAAAACTTTTTTGAAATCTTAAAATCTAAACAAACAACAATTTCTAATTCATTGCTTTTTGTAGATTTTTTTTGGGGCTATTTGTTGAAACCAGAAAAATTATAGCGTCACACCTCGATAAATATTTTCTTTACAATTGACTTGTTGATTATGTAATATGAATGAAGCATTATTTGTTGTTCGAAAGCAGATCCTGCTTGCATAATTACACCAAAACCCTTGTCTCTTTTTTAGTATAAGATAATCAGTCATATTTCCATTCAATAAAGAACGGTAGAGTCTTCCTTGTTGTTCATTACCTATCGGAGATACATAATTGTTTTTGGAAGAAAGCAAATTACATACTTATAGTGTGTAACATTTTTCATCTTTTGCACATGTAATGAATATCTAGTATTGTTGCGATCTACATGTGCACATTCCATAATCGAAAAAAAAATTCTTGCTCTTTCTCATTTTTTTTACTTTCCCAATGCCTTATATATATGCATTTTCAGATCAAAAGCTTCTATTTCTGGCTCATCTGAATATCATTAACAATTACTCCAAGTATATCAATATTTATTTGATTTTTAGCCACTCGAATGCTGTATAACGTAATACGCACCCTTTCAATTTTAATTGAAGATCACCTTTACAAATGTGTTTTTAGAAAAGATCCAATCATAATTCGAATTTTGTTTGTTTGCGTATCTGATCGGCTCTTTTCTAATCGCAATACGTTCTATATGTCACCCTAATTCTAGAACCCTATACTGATCTACAGAATCTAATTTATTCAATGAAGTTGTATTAGGAAAAACTACCTGTGCGAATTATTAATATTTGTTTGATGGTGTTGATTAATGTTTTGCCATTATTAATATAGAGCCATATTGTTGGTGCTGGTGTTGATGTTCATCGTTATCAGTAAAAAGGCGTCCTTCCTTACAAATTAAAAATTTTGATTTGATTAAGATTAGATTAACTAATCTGTCCTTACAAATCTTCCGGTCAAAATTGGGGGGTTTTTTTTAAAAATAAAAAAATCGATATTAATAATAGTGCATGCATGCATTAATTAATATTAATACAGATTAAAAAAATCTTAATTTGCGAGGACACCAAAGTTACTTGTCATTTTTGCACGCGTTCCTTTTGTTTTGAAAATCATTTCTAACTTTGTTATTAAGAAAAAATTAAATTTTATCGTGTAACAAGGAATAACGCACTCACCCACCCGCTTATTTATTGAATGAATGAATGTTTTGATAATCAGTTAATCAATAAAAATCAACATTCAGGTAATACGCTCGATTAGAGTGAGCGATTGACCATACTATAGGAAAATAAATTTTACCACTAACGTCACTTGCATGAATGTTATCAAAATAAAAATAAGGTTAATCAGTTAACCGGTTAAAATAGGTTAAAACGTGGATCATTTTCAATTCATGATTTGTGCATATGCGCTGATTTTGTTTGAACCCCCAAAATCCAGTGCGGTATGATTATAACGTTATGAATACTTTATACTAGCAAAAACCCATTGGTTTTGAGGTGAGGTCATTGGTTCGAATAGTAAAATAGTTTTTTTAGCGGAACAAATAAATTTTTTGGGGGGTAATTATCATTCTATTGACCAGTTTACACGTGTTTAACGTCGAGACACAATAAGATATAAGGTTTGAAAAAAGGATCCAAAAAACGAGGACCGGTAAAACTCTATTGAATGTCACCGCCAACACTATGATTCGAAAAGTACTTTAAAATTTAAAAATGTCACCGCCCACCTGATATTCGCATTAATAAGGAAGAAAAAAGGTCACCGATTACACTGATTCGCGAACATAGGCTATGAAAAAAGGTTACCGGTTACACTATAATTCGCTTATTTTTAGTACTTGTACGTTACACTTGTAATAGATCTTGTTAAAAAAATTATTCACTTCATTTTGCTAATTTTCATGAATTTATTTCTTTAGTTTATATGTGATATAATAACTTAATAATAATTTTTTTTTAGTAACTAATCTTGGCTTTGCAAATATTTCTGATATTCATCCATTATGCAAGAATGGATTTTTATTAGTATTTTCTAATAATATCTTGTGTTTGGGAAAAGTTATTACATTTTATGAAAAACGTGGACAAAGACATGCATGGGTTGAAAAGCCTGCAGGACTTTTGGATAATTTATCATATATTTCTATTAAAGTTTATATTCCAGTAACTCAAACAATATTTTTCATGTGGTAGGAGGTAACATTACAATTCATATTACACCACAAGATATAGTTTATTTTCTGGGGGTCATGTTCATATTCCAATGAGATTTTTTTTATTTACAATTATTTTAGTATGTCAAATACACAAAATTTGCTTTCAAGAATTTTTAATTAAAAAAAATTTGCATGTCACAGGCTATATTGATTCGCATCATTAATAAATTGTTAAATGTTACCATCAAATTGATTCGCTCAATTATAAAAAAGCAAGATTCGCATTAATATTATTAGGTGCTTAATTTGGCGGTGACATTCAATAGAGTTTCCCGGTCCTAAAAAACCAAATCGGCTGATATGGATAAATGGAAGACACACATTTTAATAGTAATAGATAGTAAAATACGGAGTTAATGATAAGAATAGCCAGAATCCTGAATCATTTTTTAATTGTAGAAATTTAAATTGACAAAACGTCAATTTAATTGTAGATCTTTGTTACAGTCCAGTGTACGTATGATGCAAGCCACTTAGTCCCACAACTTTTTATTGGTTGTATAGATTTTCAAATTCTCCAAAAATGGAAATGCAACACCCCAAAATAAATCGTATATTTGAAGCCAAGACCTTCCTCTGCAAAATCACGATTTCATCTCATTGATAGGTCATGTTGTTGTGGAGAATTTGAACTTCAAAGTTGCACAAGTTTACCGAATTTACTATGTTTAGCCCTAAAATGACGTGTTACACACAAAAAAGTTAATATCAAAAATAGACGAATTGAAACAATAAAAATTTCCCTTGTATTACAGATATTTTGTCACGTGAATTTTCCAGATGAACGGGAAGAGAATTATCTTTATTATTAAAAAAAATACAAAGAACAGCTAAGTTCATTTATTTTAAATTTAATAAATAGACTATTGCATTGATCAAATAAATGTGCAATTTGCGAAATATTCTAACGAATGTTTATCAATTATTTAATAGTTTGTGTAGGAGTAATTGAAGTAAGCTTTAAGGACAAGATCTATGAACAAAATATATTAACGAAGGTTTTATCAATCATTCAATAGTTTAGATAAATTTCTCTTTTATTTTAACTAATATTTAATAACGTCACTATAATCTTTATTGTTGTTGTTTATTGTTCTAATCATCATTTACATATGTATATTGGAATAAATGTAAAAGAAAATTTTAATATTTGCATTTTTGATTGGAAATTTTTTCTCAAAATTGGCAGCATGGCACAGAAAGTTGTGGGACTAAGTGACTTGCACTATATATATGTTATCAAAATTATGAATTGTATCATGCATAATTAAAAATTTGACATTGTGTCATGAATTATGCATTGCGTCATAATATTTCCCATTCCAAAAGTTCAGTTGTTGCCACCAGTCGAGGCTCTGATCCTACCAGTAATAAAGGAAGACTTTAATTACAATCCAGCAAGAATGTGTATTTTATTCCAGTAATAATTATTAAACATAATTAGTATAACTCGGTGAAGAAATTAATGTAAAATTAAAAATTATTATTATAAATTATTATTGTTTACACATGCTCCTATTTATGCATAACTTTTATTTCCTCCTCCACTTTCTGGTTGCTATATATATAATTTCCAAATACTTGAACAAATGCAAGCTTCATGATAACTAGAACAATTCCTTCCACCCTGTTCTGCCTCTATTGTTTTGAGCTTCATGTCTTCGTGAACCATTAATGTTTTTATACTCATAATCATGTTGGCACAGATTGCGTTTATAAGTTTGATTCTAATTTGAAAATAAAAAACAAAAACCATAAGACTAAAGACTAGAATATATTAAACAGTTTCAGTACTTGGGTTTGGTTTGTTTTTATAATTTTATATATATATATATATATGTTTATTTATTATTCTAAAAAAAAATTTAAGATCAGTTATTTGTCTATTTCTATAGTATTTTTGTCCCACCGTAAACAGTGGGAAGATTTGGTGGACTTTTTTTTATTATAAAACTTACCCTGGGAAGATTTGGTAGACAATGTAAAGTGTATATAGCGAAAATAAAAAAATTTTTTTTTTCAAAGAAAAATACACTAGCTGGACAAAAGTATTTGATCACGTATTTATACTAATTAATAAAAAACCTACATAACAACATTACACGAAATTTATAACATTATGCACCTAGGTTTTGATAATTATATATTCAAAATTTCATGTTGCTAGCTTCCAAATATCAAGATTAATAAAAAAAACTAAAACCCAAATAAAAAATTTAAACATTTTGCTATATTTTCACATTTTTTAAAAAATTTACATAATAAAAAATTGTAAATTTTATATAAATGAGGGACATTGTTTTGAAGAATAAATATATGAATTTCATATTAATATCGTGTCTAGAAAATTGATGATTAAAAAAAAATAGTGATAACATCTGAATCGCAGTCAACGAAAAATTAATAAATAATTTCAATTTTGGGTGATCATGAAAAAAAACCATTTTTATTAAATTTGATACATGCATGAATATGAGAGCTAGCAACGTGAAATTTCGAATATATAATTATCAAAATCTAGGCACATAATGTTATAAATTTTGTGTAATGTTGTTGTTATGTAGGGTTTTTACTAATTAGTGTAAATACGTGATCAAATACTTTTGTCCAGCTAGTGTAGGTTTTTATGAAATACTGTACAAAGTATTGTTAAGAATATCATCAGTAAAAAAAAATTGTTTTACTAAAAAAAAAGATTTGTTTACTATGTAGTGATTTAATCTACTTTTTGCATCGTACTATACTAAAATAAATTGATCAGCACTAATGATTAGTTTATAATGCCCCATTTGTTAAGTGATATATAGAATTACCTCTATATAAAAATAGTTAATATGAAGCTAATTTATATCAGATCTACTATGGAACCCAAGAATTACAGCACCATTAGAAGTATTTTGAAAAAAGAACAAGGTGAAAAAATTGCTCCTTACATTTTCAAAGTAAATGACACTCAAACACTGGAAGCTTAAGAAAAGAAAGGATTACCTATGAAATTTACCATGAAGAATGAAAAATAATAAATGTTGGAAAAAGAAAGCATCATGATGATGCATTATTACCTAATAAAAAGCAAAAATCCTTAAAAAGAAAATAACTATCATTTTCTTTGATAGTTGGAATGATTTTCATTTCTATAGAGGAAAATACTTCCTCAATCCTCTTTAAATTACTTTCTTATCTCCAATCAAGGTCAATTTTTAACTTCAATTTGAGCAGTTTGTTGGGTCTGTTGATTTCTTAGTCATTCAACCTCAGTTTCAAGTCTTTGAACTTTATCTAATAATTCTTGCCTTTGCTTACTATGCCAATCTTTTGAAACTTCTAAGGCTTCCAAATGAGAACTGATTTCTTCCTTAGCACTGTATAGTTGCTGTTTTAAGTCTTTATTTTGCTGTTCTAATCTACCAACATAACTCTGTGCCATTATTTCTGTTATTGTTGGAGTTTTAACTGGTTCATCTTTCCTTAAATCACAGAAACAATCTATTCTGTTTCTCATAATTTGACCACAATCACTACAATGTGATAGAGTATCATCATCAAGAGCTTTTTTACACTCTATACAGATATAAGCAATATCATTGTAATTATTACTACTTCTATTATAAGATACTATTTTGTAAGTAGCAGTCAGAATTCTTTCTCTTTCAAAAGGGCAGAAGTTACAATTCCATTTGTCCTCTCTCCTTAACTCGCTAACTTGGTATTCTAATTTCATACTATTTGTTCTTTTGTAAGATATAGGCATTAAATTTTTCTCTAGTTATTTCTTTTAATTGACTAGTTTTTTTCTTTAGTTTATTGGTTAGGAGTTTAAATTTATTTTCTTTCCTTGGTAAAACTGGCAGTTCTTGAAGTTGCTTGTCTGCTAAATATTTTTGTCATGCCACAACATTTTCTAATAACTCTATTTTTCTCAAAGCTTTTTCTAAGTTGTCATCTTTTTCTTTGCTTTGTCTTATTCTCCACTGTCTAGCCAATTCAAGAGCATCTAAATGACATTCAGATGTTTCCTCCTCTAATTCTAATGCTTCTTCTAACTCTTGTTTGGTTATCTCTAACTCAGCAACACTTTTTTCTAGAATAGCATTCTTTTCTTCAAGTTCTTTATTTTTATCATAAGTAAATCTAAAGAATCTGAAGTAGCTAATGTTCATTCACTAAATCCTTTAACAATGTTTTCAATAGTGAAATCATTACCAAAAATAACTTTCTCAACTCCATTTTCTTTTTGAATATTTACCCACTCATCTCAAGCTCAAAAATGTTGTTTTAAGGTCATTAAAGTGCCAGCAATTTCTGGTCTTTCACTTTCCATAACATTGTTAACTGCATTTAAAGTTCTTAGTTTAAAGTTTTCTGTCAATACAATAAATAGGGATGGGGACGGTTTATGTCACGTCCGGCGACGAATAATATTTTTATAATTGATCCGTGACGATTAATATACTAAATTACAGGTGACATTTATATTGCCAAAACAAGACAAATAAATTGTCACTTATAATTTAGTCACGGATCAATTATAAAAATATTATTCGTCGCCGGACGTGACATAAACCGTCCCCATCCCTAACAATAAAACAATGTCTTCCAATTCATTTACACTAAATCATAAAACAATTTCCGCGAATATACATTTATTACTTTCGAAACTATCTTTCACTATTGTTAAACAATTCCTTGCTAAACAATACTAAAAATATCTTCTTTAGATTTCACACTATGCCCTGATAACATTTCCTGGCGGATGCCCTCTTAAAGTCAGGTACATTCCAAAATTTTCTTAAATAAAATTCACTAAATATTACCTTGCTAAAAGAAAAGAAAAGAAATAAAAAAAGAAAATCATGACAAGCACAATAAACAAGCTTCAGGAGAAAAATAAAGAATTATTAAATGAAATTGAATCCACCAAATATTGGTAGACATGAGTGAGAGATTTCCTCACTGTAGTAAGAATATTGAACAAGACTAAAATTCTGAACCCTGAAATCTTGGTAATACCAATGTTCACTTTGTCTGGTTTTATTGCAGCATGCCCCATATGTCAAATTACTGACCATACATTAGTTTGCTAATAATGTGTGATCAGTGCACTTTAATATGATAGCAATGTGCTAGTACTGCACATAATTTTGAGTTTGAATTTTAGACACTGAGTGTCATACATCAGGTTCTCAAAGCTGTGATGGTGTTGGTAAAGAATCATGTATGATCTTTTAATATCTGTAAAGTAAGTTTTGTTAAGTCATCTTATAATCAATCAACCAATGAATGAACTATCATACTTCCTGTGTCTAATATTCTGACTGTACTGGTTGATGAGCATTTGTGCTTTTCAATGAAATCAATAAACCCCTTTTTAGAACATTTATTAACCAAATTTTTAAGAGGGTAAACGATTTATCAAGGTCAGTTGAATTGATTATTAAAATCGGTCAATCTTTTATATAGAGACTAGAAATAAGAAATAGCACAAGTTGGGAAATGAAATGGTGGAAAGAAAAACTTTTTTTTCCTTCACCTTTAGGTTCCTTGACTAACTTTAAACAGATGATGAACTAGAAATATTCCTTCTGTCAAGTCAAGAAAAATCAAATCTTAGAAATTTATCACATCAATGTGTTCATCATCATTAAGGCCACCCGGGTCATCTTTTTATACCTTCAGTGTCTAAATAAATTTTTGGTGCAATATTGATGATCTACATAATACTGTCCAATTTTATATATAAGTATTTCCATCGTCGCACGAAAACGTCATAAACCAATTAATTGGTCATATATATAAATTTATTGACAAGCAAATCCATTAGCATCGTTAATTTAATCGAACCTCGGCTTGTTTTCATTATTTTAAATGCTTTTTATCAAAGTAATATTTCATTATAAATCTATTATCAAATAATAAATGTGGATTTTTAATAATGTAAAGCTTTTATTGATCGTCTGAACCAACTTTTCCAAATACTGGCTGACATTATTAAAAAAAAATTTCTTTTTACAAGGGTACAATATTTTTTGTGCCGGGATTGTGTCTTTTACCCTGATAATTTTTATTTTTTTTTTTTGAGTTTTCCAACATTCTCGTGATCATAAGGACAATGTCTACAATTATTACCACAACAATAACCTCTTTGTTTATGATATAATTCAGTCATTACTGTGTAGGAAGTTTCCGGATCTATATAAGTTTGTTGATTATTCTAATAACAATAACGATGACGATGATGATAAATAATTTAAAATAATTAACAATCATTTATTAATAATTATTAAAATTAAATTACTTGAATAGCAATTTGATGCGCTTTATACCAAGCAGGTAATTCTTCAATATTTTTCAATTTTAATTTATCATCATCTTTATCATCTTCAATTAATCGATTTGATTTATTATCAGAATCATTAGGAGCATCATCTCTATCATCATTATTATAATTTGACATTATAAACTTTCTTTTTCTTTTTGAAAATTTATAATAAGAATTAATTGGATTAGTTTTAAAATGTTTAAAATGTCGAGTCGTATAAAAAAAAGGAAAAAAATTTATCATCATCAATTTTTTTTTGTATGAAACAAAAGTTGTGCACAACATTACTAATATTTCCTATATTGGATCCGTAGATTAGGATGACAATCCGAATATCCGTTCATAATAATAAAATGGCTTTTTCCACTGTTACTGTAGAAATTAAGTTACAAAATTTATTGTTATAATTCTAAATAATAAAATGCCAAAGTAAATAATTGTATTATATTTATTTTCTTCTATTATCGATAGTGTTTATTCTTACAATTTTAAATAAACCATTTTTATTATAATGTAATAGAGAACATGTTAGCATTGGGAAGCGCGCAGTTGTTTGTGCAGATATTGAATTGAAAGGAGATGTACAGATTGGTAGATTTTCTTTATTTTTTTAAAAAAAAAGCTTTTTAATTAGTTACAATATAATGTTTATTGATTATTGCTATTATTACTAATTGTTAGGTCCAGGTATATTTAAACATAGAATCATCTATTAGAATAGTTATATAAAAAAATAAATATAAAATACACACACACACACACACATATATACACATTTAGGTACAATTTTACATCCTCAATCCAAAGTTCTTGCTGAAACGGGTCCAATTATTATTGGTAAAGATAATATTATTGAAGAAAGTGTAGTAATTATCAACAAGTATCTAGATATTATTACAATTGATTGTGATTATGATTATTGTTATAAAAATTATCATTAATTTTTTTATATTTTGTGATAAATTTTTTAGAAATTCAACACCATTAATTATTGGAGACGAAAATGTTTTTGAAGTTGGATGTTGTATGTAAAGGAAATTTATTTAATTTACTTTAAATCTATACATATATTACATTTTTTGTATTATTTAGATGTAGAAGGAACAAAAATTGGAAATAAAAATATAATTGAAGCAAAAGGTAAAAAAACATTCGTTGATTTAAAGGTATTTTATTACAAAAACAACCACTTATTTATTTTTTTGGTCATGTAGCAAGAGTATTGGGTAATACATCATTAGGTGATAATTGTGTTGTAGGAGCAGTGTGTTCTACCAAGCAAGATGAAACAATTCTAGATAATACTGTAATATATGGGGATCACCATAACAGAAGAACACAGACTGCTGTTTCTAATGTAAGCAAAGTTAATCAAATCATTTTGTATTTCAAATTCTTTCATTATATGAAGAATTTTAAAATATTCATTATAATAGCAACAAATTGGTCTACATGCACGTCATTTGGAATATCTTCGAGAGGTAAACTATTTTATCAATTATTATATGAATTATTATTATCAATGAATTAATACGTTAATTTTTTAATTTAAAAAAATATTTTTTCAGATGCTACCTAAATTTAATCATGTTAGGGTAATTATTTGTAAAAATATAGTTTTTAAATATATCTTCACCAAAAATTATTTTTAAAATAACAATTATAATAATGATGATGATGATGATGATGATGATGATGATGATGAATAGGTTGGTAATACTGAACCTTCTCCATCTGGTCATTCGTCTGGCGGTGGTCATTCGTCTGGCGGTGGTCATTCGTCTGGTGGTGGTCATTCGTCTAGCCATCCTTCAAGAAAAACCAAAGAGATTACTCATGCAGCACATTGAAATTTTTATTGAAATTTTTAAAAATAAATACTTTTTTGAAAAATTTTTTTTGTATTTTTAAAAAAAAAATCAATTTTCTTTATCGCCATGAAAATAATTTTCCCACGGGTTCAATTATCGATCCAGAAGAAAATGTAAATATAAACACTTCTAACGATATTTTCAGCTCAGGTATTGAACTGTTTTCAGAGAAAGATGGATAATTTAACAATATTAACTTCGGGAAATCAAATATATGCTAAAAAAAGAGAAAGAAAAAAACAACAAGTTGAAAAAATAGTTTTTGACGAAAATGCTAGACGGTTAGTTATATTTTGTAAATTAAAACAGCACATTTATTTTATTATTTATTTTAATAAATTTTATGAAAATTAAGTGAATATTTAACGGGTTTTCATAAAAGAAAGTTGGAAAGAAAGGCAAAGGCAAAAGAAACAGCTATAAGACTCGCAAAAAAAGAAAGATCTGAACTTAGGAAAACTGTATGTTTGTATATATATATATATAGACATATAAATATATTGTGTATCTCTATATGTTTTTAAAAATAAAAAAAACTCATCAATGAATTTTATTGAATAATTAGACAAAAGAAGCAAAAATAAAAAAAATCGCAGAGTTTTATAAAACAACTGAAAGTGTGTAAGGAAGGAATTGAGTTTATATATACATATGGATTTTTAACAAAACAAATTTGTAAAGATAATTTATTTATACTTAATAGATTCAATTATATCATCATCATCAAATGTTGATGAAAACTTACAAGACAAGGTTGATGAATATGTGGAAGAAGAGAAAAATGTGAAACAAGAAATAGAAATGAAAAAATCCGAATTTAGAACACCTGAAACATTGACAACGGTTACAATAATCAATGATTTAGACATTTGTAATTTTTCTTCAATATCAGAGAGTGAATATTCTAAAAATATTGAAAAGATTATAGAAGTTGATAATAATAAATTATCAAGTAAGAAGAAAAAGTCAATGAATAATGAAAAAATCAAAAAAAGGGTTCATCCTATTAAAATTAAAAGATTTACAAAATCATCTCATTCCAAAAAATCAAATAGAAAAAGAATAAAGAAAAAAAATGGTAATTAATTGGCGATATTGTTGTTATTGTTATTGTTGTTGCTATTTTATGTTTAATAAATTTTTTTGTTTTATTATTATTTTAGATTGATTTAGGAAAATATTAGTAAGTATAAACATGTTGAAAATTAATCAATTACTATTTTATGATGGAAGTTTTGTGCATATGAAGATCTACCAAGAATAATGTTATGATAATCTAAATAAAAAAACCAAAATTTTTTCAAATGAATCCAGAGAATTGGATAACACTAACATGTCTAAAGGAAAGTAAAAAAAAAAGCACTACATATGCAAACTAAAGGTTAACTAATGTATATAAACTATTGTATATAAATTATTATATGGGCATGCTGCAACAAAACCAGACAAAGTGAACATTGGTATTACCAAAGGTTTCAGGGATCAAAATTTAGTAATGTGGTATTAAAATCCCCCCATTTGTTATATTTGTTTTTTCTTAATATTAAGTGATATATAGAATTACCTCTATATAAAAATAGTTAATATGAAACTCGTTTGCATCAGATCTACCATGGAGCCCAAGAATTATAGTACTATATATCAGAAATATTTTAAAAAAGGAACTAGAGTATGCAAATATGCTGGTTGCCAGGATTTTTTTTTCTAATTTTATTTTTTTTTTTTAGTTAAAAAATTTGGCAAGATTTTAAAATTTAATAAATAATAAATAATTGTTTTAATATACTAATATTGCATTATTAATATTGTCTATAATGGTAAAGGAATTGATATTTTTTCTTTTAGGCAATTATATTCTTGGATCATTGATTGATCTGTTATAATTGCATTTTTATCAAATGAAATAATTTGAAGGTTTTCCCAAGAAGTACATCTGCTTAGTGCAACATATGCCTGACCTGGGAAAAATATTTCACAATCTAGTGTAATTGAAACTGATGAAAGGCTTATACTTTGTGTTTTGTGTGTTGTGAGGGCAAAAGCATTTTGTAAGGGAAATTGTGTCTGGAAGCAAATGAACCATTTAGATAAATTTTTGAAGTATATTTTGATATTTCTAAATCTATAATTCCACCATTTATACAAAAAACAATTCTGACTAAATCTTGAGTATGATCTATATCTGCAATTACACCAACAGTTCCATTACAAATTCCTTTTTCAACCATATTATTATTAAGGTACATTACACATTGGGGTGTTAGATATAAGTATATATAATCGCAAACATAGGGGAAACCAAATAATAAAACCTAATAGTAGAGATTTTTTGTCGATCATTTTCATAAACTC